CTCCTGCTGTATACCCATGCTGTATTTTTTTTTGCCTGTACTAATTGAGTTTTGTGCGGGTGAAACTGCAAATCTTGTTTCAAAATGCGGTAAATATTGGTTCGGGTATATTCAAAGCAGCAGCGTGTTTTCTTACTGATCGATGTGGATTATCCTCTACAGAATCTCGAACGCGCTCGATATTTGGTTCAGAACGCGCTTCTCTATGGCGACCGATGCGACGAGGTTTCATAGTTGATCCTGTAGCTTCAAATTTGCCCACCCAGCATTTCACTGATAGCAATATTCACTGATGGCATTTGGTTTTGAGATCATGTATTGAGCACGGAAGTGTCGTAATGAAAGCGTTTGATAATAGTCGCGTACACAGAAAGCACACTGCTTGCCGGTAAAGCCATCCATGGCAAATGACTTTCCACGGCATGGCTACAAAGCCCTGATAAGCTCCTTATCTTATCATTCTTGGACATTCGGCTTTCCCCAAAATAAAAGTGCAATCCTTTCTGGGACACCCAGTATTTTTGAATTAACTTTCGAAGTAAATCCAACCATTTATAACTCCCCTGAGCACTAAATTCCCTATATAATATAATCAAATAATGTTAACACTTTTTGTAATTTTTTATTTTTTATGTTGTAATATTGTTTAAAATCAAAACTGACACCCACTATGTGTACCAGAATTTCAACCATTTTGCCGTATCTCAAGCCATTTTCGAGATATAAGCGTTTTTAGACAGTTTTGCGGACTTTGAAAATTTTGCTGTGTCAAAAAAGGCTAGACTTTGAAGATTTTCGTGGCAACTTTTATTTGTACCCATATAAAATAATGTTAAAATTTTTTTGTAATTTTTGATTTTTTTATGTTGTAATATTGTTTAAAATCAAAAGTTGACACTCACTTTGTGTGCCAGAATTTCAACCGTTTTGCCGTATCTCAAGCCGTTTTCGAGATATAAGCGTTTTTTTAACATTTTTACGAACTTTGAAAATTTTGAGGTGTAGGAAAATGTCAATAAGATCTGGAATTTTAAAAATATGTGTGGATTTAAAATGTATATAGAGCTGTAGAATAATATTGAACATTTGTATGGACTTGTATATGCAAAGATAAGGGGCTTTAAAAAAGTGACCAAAAATAATCCCCATAAGAATAACATGGGAAAAACGTGCCTAAAGTGACTTATCTTTCTGGGTTCACCACTACTAATAAGAATACAGTACATGCAAATACTTGGACAAAGATTGAACTAAGATTAACGAGAAGTAAATACACAAGTTGGTTGAATAACAATAATAATGAAAATATGTATACAATAAATGTCACATTGACCAATCTAGGAAATAATACATAATAAAGATAACAATAACCATGATGAATATTTTCGTGAAAACAAAAATAATATGGCAATGATAAATATTTGAAGTGAATAATTAATTATTGCACATTATTACCCATCTTAATCTTCTTTTGTACTTCGTTTCATAATTTATGCCGTCATTTCAACAACATTTCGAGTCATTTTTGGACTAAGCAAAGCAAATATAAATTGTTATTCCATACGGCATTTTCATTGCACGATAAGTAGGCCTAAATACGATTATCATAAAATTTGACGAATATACAAAATAAAAAATGTAGAGAACCGTCGAACTAAAAAGGCAAAGAGCAGTGTTGGTGTTAAATGTGCTCTGGAAGTCCCTACAAAAAATACCAACTCTTTTGAATTGGGGTTGTTAGATTGGATTTGTCACTACTTCAAATCTATGAATTTCGAGTCAGAACAGACTAACTGGGACACAAATATTTTTTCCTTATGTTGTCACAAGGGGAAGGTAAAATGAACTCCTTATCAACATTATGAGTTTATGGAAAATCTTATCAACAGCGACTATAAAAAAAGTATTAAGGGTCAAAAGAGACAAAAAACTATTTGAGTAAAATATAATACAAATCTGCATTTGAAATGGCCAGTTCTAAGTCTCACTTGAATCAACATCTTTCTGGTAGTGGTAGTCTACATAGTTTTAAAATCCACGACTCCTTTTCCATCAAATTGGACCGTTAATACCCTCTAACATCTAACATTTCATTTTTCAAATGAAACTCGAATTAATATAAAACATTCATTTGGTTAAAATAATATATCGGCTTGATTAACATAAAATAGTTTATACAGGCAAACTATCAGTTTTATTTCATATAAAAAATTAAACAACCCCTAAATAAAATACAAAGATAAACAGTATTTGTTAATTATTGAGTGAAAATTTAAAAACGTACGTTTTCATGTCCCTGGCCTTTTACTTCGTAGATACTGGATTTGTAGTTTATTATTATGTGTTTTAATATTTTTTGGGACGGGGGAAACATGTTACACACATTTATTTAGTTTTAAATAGGTTCTAGGTATTTTTTTCGTATTTTTAAAGTCTCGAAATTCACGACCATGACGTGTCCCTAGGGTACATTTTCCAACTTTCACGCTGTTTTTAGACTAATTATTCATGCCGAAATATATAAAGTCATATTTTTATGTTATCAATGGTTATTAAACTTACAAAAAAAGAGTATATTATAATTTTATTGTCATTGCAGACTGACTACCATGACAAAATAAGTCTGTCCCTCGATTTAGCGTCACGACCATTTGGGAAAATTTTTCAACTTTGGAGCACGACAGTGGCAAGCCTGGCGTCGATGGAGTCAGTTGGTTTTAGAGACTAGTTCGGGGTGTACGTCAGGATTGTAGTGCCGGTCTTTTTGAGTTGAAAGGAGGAATTACAAGATTAATAAAGGAAAGATTGTGTTTTTTGTAATTTTGGTGTGTCCATGACCGTACGTAGTCATTCGATGAAGTAGACATGGTGTTAATTTTTGTTTATAAGATATTTCAATTGCTAGATCAACCTAGAAGTCCACTTTGTATCCTCGAACATGAGGTGCAGGGCTACCGCCAGAACAGAGCCAAATAACACGTAATTTCACGACCAAAGTTTCACGACCATCGCGGTTTTTTTCACGACCAATCCAGCCTTATGGATTATAGTGAGTTTGGTCGTGACAATAACTTTAATATAATTGTAAATTGAACAGTTTAGTTCAATTGAAACACATAGTTTTATTATAACTAACAGTATAATTGAAGGATTGTTTGGAAAGATTTAGATTATTCCAGACAATTCACGACCGTACCGCTTGTCCCTGACCATCACGTTTATGATTTCTATCATAAAAATTTCAAAAATTAAAATATCGTCATATTTCAATGTTTTATACACAAAAGAAGCACACCTCTATACAAACATAACGATTTTTCGGGTCTCAGGTAAGTTTTTTCGGAGTTATGCAAACTTAAAAAGATTTTATTGGCTTTTTTCTATTTTTTGAGTTTTTTAAATTTTTTTCTAGAAAGACCAAATATACCAAAAGCTCAGTGACCTTTTTATTGTATAATGGTCATAAAAGTAAATTAGTTTATAGCAAAACATAGTTATAAAAATAATATTAACTATTTTTAATATTCATTTAAACGTCCGTTATGGTCGTGACAGGATTTTGTGTTTTTCTACTAAAGATGCTCTTTAAAAAGAAAACTACCAAAGATATTGCGTTACCATGGACATTTTATGAAACTTAAAATGTTAATAAAATAAAAATAATAATAAAAGTTTTGAAAAAAGGGGAAAAAAATTTGCAAAGTGCTTTTCCTGAAAACGTACGTTTTTAAATTTTCACTCTATTATTTCTTTTATTGCTGACAATATTCCCGTGGCGGAGCACGGACGGTTAACTAGTAAAGTTTAAAATACCTGTATTTTGAAACAGAAACATATTTTCAATGATTATTTTTTCTTAAATACTTTATAACGTATTAAAACTGTATACCAAGTTTCATAAACATATCTTAAATATCTTCAAGAAGAACCGGTAATATTGAAATTAATATTATTTTGAAATAAAAACTTCACCAATAAATTCAGAAATATTGGTGAAGTTTTCATTTCAAATTTATATCTTAAATAGTTTTCGATCCCCCACCCCCTACCCTGTTAAAGGGGTTAAACAATATTGTTGATGTAAAAAAATTGTGGAACCTATGTTAAGAATTAAATCGACAAACAGAATATTTCTATCATTTCAGTTTTACAACTACAGATTTGTTTTTATATTTTTGAAATTGGTGCTTTTTCACATACATTAAATCGCATTTTGAAATACCTGTCATTTTGGCTAGGGGTGAGATATCCACCGAGGGCTTGCGTCATTATGTTTTTTTTTATAAATCCTTCAAAATGAGGGGTCACTCAATAGGGGTTGCTATTTGAAAACAATAAGTCAAACCCACCCCCTACCCTGTTAGGGGGGTTAACAATATTTTTGATGTAAAAAACGGAACCTTTGTTAACATTCAATGCCACAAACAGAATATTTTAATCTATTTTGGTTTAAAAAATACAGATCTATTTCAAGACTTTATTTACACACTTTATATGAATTTGAACGGTTGGTGTTTTTTTTTTTGACTCTAGGGACCTCAAAACGAAAAATAAATCGGTCCCAGGTCCAGGTCTTACGATAAGTACTATGGTAATAGCTTATTCTATGTATGGGAAATTCGCTAAAACACAGCAATTTTGAAACAGGATATTATTTTTTAAAGATCATTTTTCCTTAAATACATTATGACGTATTAAAACTGTATACCAAGTTTCATAAAGATATCTTAAATAGTTTTCGAGAAATATCTCATTAAAATCAAATTCAAATAGAATCCCACGGCGCCACTCGAGGAGGAAACGCTTCGCGTCTTCCGCTACAGTGGCGCGGCAATACAGCCGCATCATGAAACAGCGCCTAGCGCAGATCCAGCTGACCGTCTGCATTAAAGTATTATATTGTCTGTGGTGATGTGCTTGTAAAGGCACAATAGCATCTTTTGTGTAGGCCGACTAATTTGTCAAGCTCCGTAAAATATTTAAACCCCACTCTGTTTTAGATGTTTTTGGAAGTTCCTGACAACATCGACCTGATCACAATTCACCTGCCCGACATAGAGGGGAGAATATTGAAGCATCTGTTTGAGTTCTTGTATCAAGGCCAGCTTAGATTATACAGAGATGAATACAACAAATTCAAAGATCTAATGGACTTGTTGGGCATTGTACTTCATCGCTCTTCTTCGGTAATATAAACATTAATTTAGCCTATATTAGGTTATTCTCTAATAAGTTACTTATTTTAAAATTAAGTTAAGTCAAGCCATGGGCAAAAGTTAAATAGTGTATGGTTTCACTAATTAAATACCGGTATTTAATTGTCATGTTTCTACCTAGGCCTAGTTATTTTGGTGCTTAAATTAATTATGCTATCTAACTAATGGATCAAATTTAGATAATAACATAGTCCACAGTTTGGGCTGTTCAAAAAAAAAAATAGTAAAAATAACAATGCCAAAGGCTGGATTTGCATTAAAGTGCTCATTTTAACACTTCACTGCAGACAAAGTATGAACGACGGGATGGGCTGGCCTCAGAAGCTGGGATGAGTACTGAGTGTTTTTTTTCTAATAGGTTGGCAGCCTCTTTTAACTATGCTCTGCCCGCTTACATAGGCTAGAGACCTGGGCGTGTAACATATCCAGCAGGCAAGGGGTGAGCGGGTACAGTACAAGGGTGAAGTAAGTAGGCTACTGTTAAAATAGTAGTGGTAGAGACCAGTATCCAAATTCACAACATCACTGCCGTAAGCCTGAAATCCGTGGCACTACCAACTGAGCCACCAACTCAACTTAGTAAACTTGGATGTTCTAGTTAGAACACTCTGATGCTAATGCAGTGATAGCCTCAATCGATACCGATGTTAAACTTCTGTTACTTTCTGGACTGCCCTCATACCTCACTCTCATGTTTTGTCTATACTTGGCTTTCTAATCATGTGACTGACTACTATCGTATGTAGGCCTAATCAAATGTACTGTGCATTTTTCAGAACAAGACAACAACCCATTTTGTGCCGGAAACGGCAGTTCCCACAACTCAGGCACAGCAGCCTGTTCAGCCAATCTATTATGTGCAAACACCGAGCCTCAATAATCAAGGTAATGAAAATCAGTTTCCAAATTCACAGTATAATATATCCCTTACTAAAACATATATAAGTTATCCCAACAAAATTATGAACTGGCATAGGCTATCTATTGATGAAATAGAATAATAATTACTAGTGTACCTGTTGCTCGAATTCGAGCAATTGGGAAGCATTACAGGCAACTCACAAAGATTATGGAAATACTCACGATCTACGCAACAGTTAGATATAATCAAAATCTTTTGTAAATATCTTTTCTTTTCTTAAAAAGCTGATCTTGTTTTTTAGTGTTTCTACAAATTTTTCCCTCATAGCCGCATTAGGTTGTCCCGTAATTAGGTTGGAGGAGTATTTAACGATTATAAATGAAAAAAAACATTATTTCTTTTCTTTTACTTGGTTGTGTTCTATGACTTTTTCTATGTATCCATTGTTTGCAAATCGATTATTTCAATGATTGCTCAAGAAATGTAGCATATTGTTAATTCAGTTTTATTTATAGCCTATATCAAATTGTCCAGGATTTCTCGCTTTTTTTCCATTGTAATAATTTCACCAACCCAAGTTTCGTCTACAGATGCAATACGCCAAAGAATATCACCTACGTACAATCTCCAAGAAGTGGTAAAAAAAAGGCAGAAACCAAGCCATACAATAGATATAAGTTAACTCCATAAGAAATAATTTTAAGAGTTTGTCACAGCGGCCCTCTTTAGTCTTCGTAGCGGTTGGGAGCAGGAAGAACGAACATTAAAACAAGCGAATAGGGATCAACTAATTTTATTAATTATCGAATAATGAATAATGACTTTACATAACTACAAACACGATGATACAAGAAAATACAACTAACACTTTGTACTCGCGACTAACAGAATATTAAATGATTTTAACACTGAATTTAGAACATACACGGACTCATAGAAAGAGTAAGAGAAAGAAAGGGCGCGAGACCGCGCGTGGCGGACCTTACCGTCATTCGCTACATTCCGGCGCGATCTAAAGCTTCAGCATCGCCCAAGCGGAAGCATCAGCGTGGTCACATGACCATCGTCAGCCAATCAGCGCACGCTGAGCGCTCAGCCCATAATTCAACGCGTGGACAGTTGCTTGACAGGTGCTGCAGCCAAACGATTACAACTGTCATTAATGAAACTAACTGAAGCGAGGAACCGAGTCTAGAAGTGTAACATTGTTTATCGCGGCACACGTGCATGCAGATTCAGCACATTCCAAGGCATATCCGGCCAGGCCACGACGTCTGGTTAGGATTATTGTAGGGTTACAAAGTAATGAAATGAATTGGAATATGAGTTTTAAGGTTCACTTGGAGACTTATGTGAAGTTAAATAAAATTCAATATTGCTAAATACGGTTGACACATCAACCTAGCAAATATTCGGTGATAGCCAGCGGGCCAGGTTTAGGGAGTAAGGCCAATCAGCTTAAGCTCAAAGTTAAAAAATTACAACCAAATGAGGCAAATATGCCAGGCCGTCACAAGTTACTGTGGTATTAGGATTTTCCACTGATTTGGTAATAGAACATTATATTGCAAAACATGACACGATGCAGAAGAAAATCCAATTTAAAATCAGAAAACCCCATTGCAAATAGGCTACTGTACTTCATTTTGACAAATTCAATAAATCACAATTTAAATATTAACAGCTGTTTCATTAAAAAGTAGTGTAGAATTATGCATATGGTCGTAATGTAAACAAATCTGAAGAGGCAACTTTAAAGGCTTCTGGGGCAGAGCCCCAAGGGAATTTACCTCGTTCCTCTTTTGATGGCTCATCTACAGACCAAGACCTTTCTTTAGATACCTCTACCAAGTTTCTACGCCCAGCCGTTCTCTCAAATTAGCTATGACAAAAACCCCATTTTCCTCCATAAGAATAACATGGGATAGGAATTTAAAGGCCACTGGGGCAGAGCCCCAAGGGAATTCACCAAGTTTCTCTTTTGATGGCTCATCTACAGACCAAGACCTTTCTTTAGACACCTCTACCGAGTTTCTACACCCAGCCGTTCTCTCAAAATAGCTATGACAAAGAAAAACAGTTTCAAATTAATATATAGACTAGGCCTATATGTTGTTAACATGAACATATAGATGAGCACATGATGAAATAGAAGTATACTTGATAATTGGATGTTATCGGCTGTGCAGGCCAAATGCAGTACATGCTGGCCACCCAGGGTCAGATGATGCAGATGCCGTCGTCTGCTGCTCCTGGACAGCTGATGCAAGTAGCTCAGCCACAAGCACAGTCCCAGGCACCCACCACTTCCATGGCTCAGGGACAGATGATGCAAATGGCACCGACAATCATGACACAGGCAGGTGTCCAGATGGTGAGTTTCTTTAGTAAAATCAACTTTTACATGACCTTGTCTAACATGATCTTTTTTTAGGGAACACTTAATTTTTTTAAAAAGCACATTCTCTTTTATTTTGCATTGGACGACCACATGGGCCACAGAGGACTGTGCGTGGAAAATATGCAGCAAAGCAAGGGTGAGCCGGTACAGTACTAGTAGGGTGAACTGTACTAATAAAAAGTAGTGGCAGGTACTACTGACGCTGCTGACTGAGCCACCCACTCACTATAGCTCACTATAGCTGAATGACAAATAGCAACTTTGTCCAGAATCAATCCTGTTTGGACATAAGTCGGTGTTGGAACCAGCACTCAGGTAGACCACAGTTATGGACGACTGGATTTGCCAGCCCCATCGGGGGAGCCCCCAGTGACATTCCATCATCCAGGTTGGTGGGGTGTTCTGCTCTCAGTGATGCCGCTTTTTGCCGCCTCTCCTCATCTTCCTGTGGCTGTGGTTCTTGGGCTTAGTCCTGCCTGATGTGTATGACTAAACATTATGTGTGGCATATCCTTGGCTCTGGAAGTAGCCTCTTCCTGGGAGGTGAAAGACAGGCAAGTAAGCCCAAGCAAGTAAGGCAAGTAAGGGGAGATCACTGTCCGGTGTTGGAATCGGCATTTCAAGTAGGCCATAGTCATGGACGTCTGGTAAGCGCCAGCCCCTTAGGGGGAGCCTCCAGTGACACCCCTCCATCAAGGTTGGTGGGGTGTTTAGCTCTCGGAGAGGTGGAAGTGCGCCATCAATCTCCCATCTACCTGTGACTATGGTTCTTTGGGCTTCGGCCTGCTTGCTCTGTGCGACCAGCATTCTGTGGGGCAAATCCTCGACTTTGGAAGTAGCCTTTCCTGGAGGTGAAATCGGGCAAGTACCCGTAAGCTCACGGGGGCACTCTAGGGGAACGTAACTTGGCTGGGCACACTCCATCAGCCAATCCCTGTCTCTGAGCCCGGAAGGTATGGTTATCTAGAGTGTGGGGGGTTTTCTCTGGAACCTCAATTGAGTTAAGGGTGTCGCCACCTTTGGTGGATAGGTTCATCCGGGTGGGTCCCACTTCTAAACCCGCCTCCTTTTGGGAAACCCTGAGGGCCTGTCAGTGATGTTGGACTTGATGGGCAAACGAAGTAGATCGGGTGTTGGGATCAAGCCCGCTAGGGGTATCTGGGGATCTATGGCCCTGGTTATCCCTGGTTTCCCAGCATTGGGATGGCCTCGATCGGGTAGTAGTGGAAATGGGGGCTTGCTGGCGGCCCCCTTCCTCCTGGCTTTGATGGCGGGTTTCGGCCTGTCAGGGATTGGATAGGTCCCGAGTGTTTCTTGCACTATATGCAACAGGGCATTTTATTATGGGCCTTCAGGTTTTGAACCTGCTGGTTCCAGGTGGAGTGACGCTTTTAACCAAGTCGCCGGTATCCCTGGTAAGGATTGAGGGGCAACCCTCTTTCCGAAGGGTTGCTTCGGCAGCCGGTGAGCCTGATGACCTTAAGTCATCCGCCCATGGTGTGTCAAGGTTGATGCGTAAGCTCCTGCCTACACCATGGGGCCCGGGTATGTTTAATTATAGGTACCGGGTTGCAGTTGAGGGGCTTCGGCTTTTTTGGCAAACAAACAAAATGGAAAAAAAATGGAAATGGACATAAGCCGGGATTTTTCATTTCTCATACAATTTTGAGACAAGATCTCTCTAGTATTTTGGGTATTGCATTGACTTTCTGCAGGCGTTTTAACTTCTTTTTTTATCTTGTTTAAAAAAAAAATCTTGATCAAAATAAAATCTCCAGATTTAAAATTTCTTGAAATTTCAAGACCCTATCCATTCAAGATTTGTATTGTCAAGAATTCAAGACCCGTCCATCTCTAACAAAAAGCTACCATATTAAAAAAAAGTATGACCTACATTGCGTAGCCCGAGAGAAACTCAGGAAAGGTAAGACATTCCTAAGCAGGCCTAAGACATTCCTAGATATGTGGGCCATCTTTGTGCTCAATTTTGGCTGTATTCGGTGTAGTAATTTAGTTGTGGCAGCCGCACAGACAGACACCACCTCAATTTGATATAGTATAGATGACTAGCAGAGTACCCGTCCTTCGTACGGGGTTGGTATATAAGTATAAAATTCTTATTGCAGTTATACTTGTGCTTTGCGTTTGCAATGGGAGAGGGCACGTTTTATGACAATTTGGTTTACGTTATATTATAATTTATGGTATATAGTATAGGTCATCTACCATAGCTATTCCACCACTGCACTTAAACAATAGAAAAAAGTAAAGTTCTCACAGCTTTTTCTTGCTGCTGGGTTCAAATTAGCTATTGTTACAAATGCAAAAAGAATTAATAGTGCTGTACCCTGTTGGTAAATCTTATCTTATATATTAAAAAAATTTGGTTTTTCTTTTCCGAGTTCGTTTGGCTCTTCTACCCGACCGATTTTCATGATTGAGGTCTCAAATTGAAGGTATGCACGCTCAGATTTGCCATCAAGCATCGGCATATATTTATCTATAATCCTACTCGGCTTATACGTAAAAGAAATTTGCTCCCCATGTTATTCTTATGGGAGTTAAATTTGGTTTATCTTTGCCGAGTTCGATTGGCTCTTCTACCCGACCGATTTTCATGATTGAGGTCTCAAATTGAAGGTATGCACGCACAGATTTGCCATCAAGCATCGGAATATAGTTATCTATAATTCCACGCGATTTCTACGTAAAAGAAATTTGCTCCCCATGTTATTCTTATGGGAGTTAAATTTGGTTTATCTTTGCCGAGATCGATTGGCTCTTCTACCCGACTGATTTTCATGATTGAGGTCTCAAATTGAAGGTATGCACGCACAGATTTGCCATCAAGCATCGGAATATAGTTATCTATAATCCTACTCGGCTTATACGTAAAAGAAATTTGCTCCCCATGTTATTCTTATGGGTGTTAAATTTGGTTTATCTTTGCCGAGTTCGATTGGCTCTTCTACCCGACCGATTTTCATGATTGAGGTCTCAAATTGAAGGTATGCACGCACAGATTTGCCATCAAACATCGGGATATATTTATCTATAATCCTACTCGGCTTATAAGTAAAAGAAATTTGCTCCCCATGTTATTCTTATGGGAGTTAAATTTGGTTTATCTTTGCCGAGTTCGATTGGCTCTTCTACCCGACCGATTTTCATGATTGAGGTCTCAAATTGAAGTTATGCACGCACAGATTTGCCATCAAGCATCGGCATCAATGTATCTATAATCCCACGCGGATTATACGTAAACGAAATTTGCTCCCCATGTATTTCTTATGGGAGTTAAATTTGGGGTTTCTTTGCCGAGTTCGTTTGGCTCTTCTACCCGACCGATTTTCATGATTGAGGTCTCGAATTGAAGGTATGCACGTACTGATTTGCCATCAAGCATCGGCATCAATGTATCTATAATTCCACGCGATTTCTACGTAAACGAAATTTGCTCCCCATGTATTTCTTATTGGAGTTAAATTTTGTTTCTCTTTGCCGAGTTCGTTTGGCTCATCTACCCGACCGATTTTCATGATTGAGGTCTCGAATTGAAGGTATGCACGCACAGATTTTCCATCAAGCATCGGCAAATATTTATCTATAACCCCACTTGGTTTATACGTAAAAAAAATTTCCTCTCCATGTATTTCTTATAGAAGTTAAATTTTGTTTCTCTTTTCCGAGTTCGTTTGGCTCTTCTAACCGACCGATTTTCAAGATTGAGGTCTCAAATTGAGGGTATGTACGCACAGATGTCCCATCAAGCATTGGAATATATGTAGCTACAGTCCAAACCCGGATTATACGTAAAATAAATTTGCTCTATTGGTAGTTAAATTTAGTTTTTCATTTCCCAGTTCGTTTGGCTCTTCTACTCGACCAATTTTCATGGTTGAATTTTCAAATTGAAGTTATGCATGTCCAGATTTCACAACAAGCATCGGTTTAAGATACAATATACAAAATACAAAAAAAAATAAAAAATACAAGGTTAAACCCGTCGAAATCAACAGGTACTGTTGAGGTAATTCTATTTTGGAACCATTTGGTTTGTTTGTGATTCAGCACTATGCCAATCTTAATAATCATAATTAATTACACAAATGATGCCGGAATTTTACCGAAGGTTCTTATATGAAAATAAATAGGATAACGTAATTAGAATTGAGTATAGATATCAACTTTAGTTTTTTCGTTTCGTTTAGTTTTTTGTTTTGTTTTTGTCTAAATAATCTACTTTTATTTGGGCTATCGGTATAATATCGGGCTATACTGTTATTCGGACGGAGGGTATGTTGAGTTGAGCTGACTCTGAACTTTAGTTTCAAAACATTTTCCAATATCTTATCTTAGACAAAATTTGTGATTCCTTCAAAAAATATTTACATCTCTCGGATATTATATCTATTTAACGCTGCGGAGCAGCATGGGTCCTCTAGTACCCTTTTAATGCTATTGAATATCATAGAAAAAACTTGTGTAGTTGAACCAGCTGGCAAAATTCTTTAATTCCTTTTAAATATGAATACGCATAAGGTTAACATGAGAAACTCTAGAAAAACTGGGCCAGAGCCGAAAAGGATTTTTGAGATAAGAATAATTCTCCAATTCTTGTCTCAAAAATCCTTTTCGGCTCTGGCCCAGTTTTTCTAGAGTTTCTCATGTTAACCTTATGCGTATTCATATTTAAAAGGAATTAAAGAATTTTGCCAGCTGGTTCAACTACACGAGTTTTTTCTATGATATTCAATATCATTAAAAGGTTATAAGGTTGTCTATTTGTTAATTGGTAATGTGAGCTATCATCATACCAAATTTCAACCCAATCCGGCTAGTAGTTAATGTGTGATCGAACTTCAAACAAACAAACATACAAACAAACAAACACACAAACTTTCACATTTATAATATTAGGATGATAAATAAAAATAATAATCAAAAGAAAATTCGAATTGTTATTTTACATGTAGAAAAAAAACTACATGTTAACAAATGCAATTTATTGTGTTTATTAGTTTGGAATTACAAATAGAGAATGTGTTTAGGTACAGGCAGCTTCAACAGGAGTGAACAATGCAGTTCAACAAAACAACATGGTGCAAATGGTTCCCCAGAACAATACTCAGGTGAGGCTTTTGGTTTCATCAAAAAATTGTTAAGCTACAGATTGTGCTTGCTACCAGTGTTTAGCCTACTTACTTACTTACTTTCCGTGTCCGGATAAAAACACCAGCTCAATTAGATATTATTTTTCCAATAATCTGCCACATATATGGCTTCGTCATTTGCCTCCTTAAGATCGAGCCAGGTGCATGTTCTATCCATATCTGGACAAACTAGTAGATGTTCATGGTCCTGAGGGGCCCCACATGTGCAGTTTGGTTCTCCTTCGTAGTACCCCCACCTCATGAGGTTTACTTTGCACCTCGAGACCCCACTTCGCAATCTATTTAGGGTCCTCCATGTGGGGTAAGGCAGGTGACAGCCTGCAGGGAGTTCCTCTCTGAGTTCTACTGGTGGCTGTTGAGCCTCCTGCCTCCATAGCTGAAGCCTTAATACTTCCGGTGTTACTGAATGTATCTCAGTGGTTTTGAGGAAACTCTTTCTTGACCTGAGTCTAGAGGGCTGCTGTTGATGCCCATATAGTGGATGACGGTGGTCGGTCACTTGCTTCTGTAGTTCTACTGCGGCTGCCACGTTTCTCCTTATATATGGTGGAGCTACCCCAATGAGAGGGTATATACTGTCCACTGGGGTTGGTTTTAAGCATCCTGACACGATCCTTGCAGTTTCGTTGATGGCTATGTTTACCTGCTTTGCATGGGCAGAGTTTCTCCACACTGGAGCTGCATACTCTGCTGCTGAGAAGCTAAGAGCAAGAGCAGAAGTGCGTAGCACCTGTGGTTGTGCCTACTTAAGGAACCATCATGTTTAGGTAAAACCACGAGTGTATACAAATTATAGGATACAGTAAAGCAACTAACAACCTGACAATATAACTATTTCCAGAATTAAGGATTGCAAAAATTATTGTCCAGTTAAATATAACCATAGGCTACCATTGGTATTTTATTTAATCAAAAGTGTGTTAGAATCTGCAATTGGAAGTTCTGTGTCCAATTAAAGGTTTTTTTTTTTGGAGAGGAAAATTTTCTGCTAACCTACTTGAAAAAATAGATACAGTACCTAGGGTTTATAGATAGACAAAAAAGGTCCCATCATAAAACTGATTTGTGTAAGTCTTATACAAAGAGTAACGTCTTTGAAGAAGTAAAACTTATTCTACTATTAGCTAGAGCTTTGTGAGCCAGAGGTTTTTGAATAAGTCCAACCTTTGGAAAAAAACTTGTGTTGTAAGATTTTTTTGACTTGAGCTTTTATATATAATCAACTGTATCTGTGATCATGATAATGTTGCGAGAATAAAGTACGGCTTGACTAAATTTCCTGACTTAGTGGTGATCAAGCATCAGCTTTTAGAAAATTTAAAACGAAAGCCGAGCTGTTAGCACACCTTTACTTTTAGCTTTGCTTACCAACTTCTTTCCCTTTTCAAAAATAAAATGAAACCACTGACTCGTATTCCCCTAAAGTATGTTCAGTTCTAGTATTTATAAATATTCCCAGGTGGTGCCAATGGTGGCTGGCAACCAGATGGTGCAGTGTTCCAGTCAAATGGTTGTGCAGGGCAACCAACCAACAATAATCAACAACCAGATCAACAACCAGATGCAAGGGAATATTCAGAATCAGGTTGGAAGATTTGACTGATTAATTGCAGCTCACTTATTTCCACTGTATTAGGCCTATAAAAAACAATTAACCCTGTGTAAAGATTGTCTACAAGAAAATCATTATGTTGTATTGAAAAATTAAGTCAAACTATGAAATTCAATTATTTATTGCGTAAAAATTAACATGATGATCATCAAAATACAACAGTTAAGATTGATTAGTTGTACAAGAAAATTAACTAAATCATATAATACTGAGCAAAAGCTAATGTAATCATTCTAACCAAATTTAAATACTATTCTAAAAAAATACCCCCGCTGCAGCTAACCCGCAGACTAAGCGAGTTTATATTTGCCTGATTATCACTACAATAGTAGTATTTTCTGTAAAACATCAGATTTAGTCCCTATTTAAATAACTTAAGGTAAAAAAGTGTTATCTTATAACAGACACAATTTGAACGGGCGGTGATTTTAGACTCTGAGGTTACCAAAATGTAAAAGTAAATCGGTCCTCAGTTTTACCATGACTACAGTAATAGCTTATTCCCTATATGGGAAATTCGCTAACAAGCCAATATTGTAGGCCTAAACATTTAAACTGCGTTGCCTGTCAGTATATCAAAAAAATTCAAAGTCATATCAATTTGTTTGGTAGTTACATCTGAGTTGAGGTTTTCTCTATGTGCAGCAGGTCACTCAACCCACGGCAAGGCCTCAGTATGTCATGTCTTCCTCGACCAATCAGATGACGACTAATCGCACACGGACGCAGTACACACAACCACAGATCACTCCACAGCAGAGGCTAGCAGCCAGGACCCGGACATCTACCCAGCTCTCTGTACCCACCAGGAACAACACAGTCAACAATGGTAAGCGAATGATAACTTACCTCATTTCCAACTTACTTCAATGAACTAATATGGGGTTTTACTATAAGTGTTGTGCAGTTCAAATGGTAACATTCAAAGTTTCATGGGTTTCATTGTCAAACAATTCGGTTTAGGAAATATATTGAACCCGCTTGATTAGCTTCATGGATGGTTTAAATAGGTAACAACACATTTAGGTAAATTTAACACATGACATACAACATATAAATAAATAATTGTAATAATTAAGAAGATGAAAGACAGGATAAGCAGGCTTACGTTAAAAAATACAGTAGAACATCAATTATCAGGGTAAGTAGGGGGGGGGGGGATAACTGAAAACAACTTTAATCCAACATGACATAAACATATTACAAACCGAAAAAAACCCAATCCTAATTACATTAACAATTAGTAGGCTATTGCGCAATCATGGTATGTCAGATCACTAGAGTCTTGGTTCAGTAATAAAAAAAACTTTAATGTTAAAAATCACAGCTTACTCAAATAAAAAAAATTCCAAACACTACAGCGATAAATCATTTAAAGAACAGAACAATAGAAAGTCTAGTAAGCTACTGCTAGTCATACGCTACTGCTACACCTGTTCCACAACAGAAGAATGTCAATAAAAACATTAGATAACTAATAAAAAAATATAAAATCATAGCTCTTACAACAGTTTAGTAAATAAGATAAAGATTAAAACTACACAAAAACATCGCTTGTTCTTTTTCTTTATTCTTCTATTATTTCTTGGGTTTCTTTTCATCTACAGATTCAAAAAGCTGCCATGGTTTTATTTAGAGATAGGCCGATACCAAAAATTGACAATACCGATACCACCGAAGTACTCTCGATACCGATACTTCCGATACCTATCTTTTTTGCTCAGTTTCTTCCACTAATAATATTATAAACTGTTATACCATAAAAAAACACAATATGTATGTGTATCAAACTTATATTTAGGTGTTAAAGGTATATTATTAATTGTAAACAACAATTGCAAAAATATGGAACTAAGTGTTAAGTGTATTTTAAAATAGGCCTACTGTAAATGTTTGAATTTGACTAAAGTATGAGATCTAATAAAGTTTCCTCTAATTTATAAATAGGCTTATATAAGTATTTATTTAAGTTATTTGTCAGTTTTTGTATTTATTTGAAATTGCATCAATTGGCTTAGTTAACTCATTAAGCTATAAAAAACAATTACGTACCTACATCTTGGCCTACAAATACTCTTTGTAAAGGTAAGTTTTTTTCCCTAAGAGAGTAAAAACGAACTTCATAATGACATTTTCTCACTAGTTGTATGAAAAACAGTTATATATCTTCAAAATTTGTTTAACTACGAAAAAGTAACCAAGTCTAGCTGAAAACACATTCATAAATGAGGATATTTTTGAAATACAGAATAACTAATCAAACAACATTTTTATTTTTAACACTTTTATTTCTTAATAAATTTCTTATTCTTCTTCTTCTTCTATTTTTTATTTCTTATTATTTGTTGAATAAGTCGACGTCTGTGGAGAAAAGTTTGGCAATAGATAGGTTTTACTTTTAGCCTACCTACAATAAAGATTATGTTTTGGGACTAGAATCTCCAAAAGAATGCTTTTATAAAACATTCCATAGTTTTATTTAGTAACAAAAGTGTTTGACTATGTTCCCGATGATACCAAGAGTATAGGTTCGGCAAAGAGGATTCACTGTGAACCGGCCTGCCTGGCCCTTATGCACGACGTCACTATAACCATCGTGTAGGGGTGTCAACAATGGATCGGAACAATCGATGTTTTGAACCTGTCTGTAACTAACCTAGGTTTTTATACCTTGATACTCATTATGTATAAACGAGCACGTACTACATATCGGATCTCGAATTACGATAATTATCGATACCTTTCCCACCCACAATAAGCACATAAAACGATGTCTAAACAATCGTCATTTGCCCAATTGAAACACGAAAGTCGATTGACTGACATGACAGTGCATTGTCCCTCCTGACCAATGAGAACTGTTGTTACATACTTTTATTGTCAACATTCACCATTCGTTATAACATTACAAAATCGACATGGGCTAAGGCTTATGATATTTTTCAATAAATGCATTTATGTCATAGTAGCACTTAAAACTTCACTAAACTCTTTAATCAGGTAGATAGTACAGATAAAATATGGACCTACTTTTTGGCGCAATATAAACCAAGCCTAACCATACGACGATGACGATGATAAAGTTTAATGGTTGAATATAATTTTTCTAATGATGCGTATAATGCAGGGATGAAACTGAACATTTCGACGTGTTTAGGTTATTTATTTTGTACTAAAAATAAAAATAATACATCTAAATGTCTGATATATTGATACAGACATTGTTAAGTATAATTAATTTCGTGTTGGCAGGACATTCGCGCGCCGGTTGTCTCTTGAGTTGAGTCTTGAATCTGACATCTTGAAATGTAGATTGTGTTGTGCAATGAGCTGAAGCTAAACAATGTCACCGGCACCGTTGCTGTTTTGAACTAGATAGATAGTTTCTAAGTTGGCTATGAAAATTGTTAACTGTGATTACAAAACTAATACTGTAGCTATAAAGTAAATAAATGTTAAAATAAAATATTTATCCCTGTCGGGTGTCGGTATCATCGGAATCGACTTTTGACAATCGAGTCTTGGTACCGATACCAATGTCCAAGTGGTAACCAATGGATGGTGGTATCCATGACGATAATTGACACATCCCTTTTTAGAACTGCGTCGTGACCAAATCGATGCATGCTGGATTGAATCGGGATTTGATGCATCGAATTGAAATTTCAATGCATCACACTTGCTGCACACCACTACCTATCCAGTGTCAGCTGTCAGTCGCTGTCAGTGAAATGGATGACGCAAGCGATGTCTAGGTTACCGATTGTTATTAGGCCTAGTATGTCAATATTGAAAGGGGTTAAGGGATTAAATAAAACTCAAACATTTTCCTTTCTTGTTATTTACTTGTCAAATATCAACGAAATCGGCTTAACCTCTGCTACTCGACTCGAGTTGCGAGTACCTATCTTTAACTAAGTAGGCAAGCGGCTAGGATTCGTAACGGCAACGGCAATTTACCCGCTCTGACTGAACTGACTTAATCCGCACCGATTCGTAGCATTCAGTGGTTCAGTGTCAGTATCGGTATCGAACCCAAAACAGGCAAGTATGGAGTATTGACGATACCTCGATACCGCTGGTATCGGGAGTATTTTGGTATCGAGTATCGGTATCGGCCCACCTTTAGTTTTATTAATCACTATATCACAGGCTTCTAAAGCTGTCATGTTAATGTCATGCTAATTACCCAATCACAAACTGTTGAGACATAGCATGTGCACAGCAGACAGATGTGTGTAAGGAGCAGACTATTGTCAGTGTAAGCAGATAGCTTAACCTTGAGCTATCGATATTTCTTTGTCTTGTTTCCTTTTTATGTTTGTTAAATTGAACTGTGATGTTTCAAAAACAATATAGGAGCCTACTGCATATAAATAATGGGCAGAAATAGTTAAATAATGTAATATTTGCATTTCAACACATTAAACTAAAGAAACACAATTTAAAACATTTCCTTGGTATTTTTCTATTTTTCTCGGACAATGAGGTTATGTAACATAATAATTTTAGAGGCATCAAGTGACCACAGTTGATCTTACCCACGGTTAATCAAGTTTCTACTATGTAGGCATCCCACTTCACTTGAAGTAACACATAAGAAAAAACAAAGGAAACACTGACTATTTTGAGGCCACTGGCCCCTTTTTCTTTTAGTCACTGAAATGTGATGCCATCATTTCTCAAGATAGGCCTGCTAACCCAGTTTGTCTCCTCAATTCTCAGGCAATAATCACCAACAAGCACTTTCCTATCAAACCTAGTATTTGAAATTAGTTAAAGCTTGTGACAAGTATTTAATTGCTATGTAATGTGTTGAGTGTATGAGCACTTGTTTGCGCTCAATGTAGACACAATAGAATATTCGACAACAGACAAGCGGCAGGAGGTCTTACTTTCATCGTTTCATTTCTTGAAGTGAAACTATTAGTATTTAGGGAGTTTGATTTTTTCCAAAAATTTTTCAACAGTTATCAAATTAATCTATGACATAAAAATTTACAAAACTGAAATTCGACAATGACCAAAGCATCCGCCCAACCATAAATCTGAAAACTCCCTAGCCTCAATTGTAATCAAACGCCTCAAATACCAACAACCCAAGTAAAAGACTAATTGACTTTATTCCAGGATGGCGAATTGAATATAATTATGAATTTAGATCCACTTCCTTTAGCTCGCAGATCAGAGCCAAGGGGTCGCCAAGTTGACCCGTGAACAAGGGGAGTCGAATAATAACGACTCAGTGAATTACGGTTCAACAATTTATTAATTTTTAAACAAAATAACCCTTTACACATATGCTAGCCTTAATTGTTATTAGTACCCAAAATTATGAAATGGTACATTACTCAATACAGCAGGGGTGGGCTGGGCCATCTTAAGAATTAGCTGTACAAATTTTGACTCCCGTCTGCAAAACCATTAACACAAGCTTAAATTAAAATAAAATTAATATTACAAGAGACCTGTTGGAAAAGTATTAAAGGTATAAAACATTGATTCGGATTTCTTATAAAGTGTTCAATACAAAAAATCATTCATTGAGTTAAGTTACATTAAATTGAATAAAAATTTACATTTGACCAGAACCTAATATTAAAGTTATATAATTCTCATTTTAAATTTATATAGCTCTCAAAACTCTTCTGTTGTTTTACTATTCAAGAAATTACAAACTAAAACAGGCTAACTGACCACACGTGGCAAACGAAATTTAACAGTAAATAAAGACTTGTACAAATTGGTTAATTATGTTTTTCAACTGAATTGTAGCACCTGAAAAGCATTTTAAACATGAATATAAAAATCCTTAAACTAAATAAATGT